GGTTGAGGGTTAGGGTTTGGGGTTTAGGGTTTAGGGTTTTGGTTTTTGGTTTTTGGTTTTAGGGGTCAGGGTTTAGGGTTTAGGTATGGTACTGGCAGTATATATGGAGCCGCTGTACGGATCCAAAGGATCCACTACTTATAGGATTTTGGGGTTTTAGCGTTCAGGGTTTAGGGTTTATGTTTAGGATAGTAGTTATGTAGGTTACCATTGGGGAGAGTGTATGATTATTGGGCACTTGGACAACCAGGGCTTAACCCGAAATGCTGAACCCTCAAGCCTGTGGCTGAGGTACCCCGGATGCCCAGGAACGATGTCACAGGCAGGGCGGCTCTGGCTGCGGAAGGTCTTTAAGGTTTTGCTGTAGGGTGTATTGTATCAGAAATAGCGGCCCAAACCCTAAACCTTAAACCCTAAACCCAAAACCCTAAACCCAAACCCAAATTTATAAGCTTCTACCTTTGAACCCTAAGCCATAAGCCCTAAACCTCCCCACGCCCTCGTCAAGTCTTTGAGGCGCCTATTGTAGGGTTTCATGGTTTCGTAGGCTTTACTACTCGGGCTCTTTGTTGGGGGTCTGGCTTCGGGTATAGAAAAGCCACGATCCCCCCAATCCCAAGCACGAACCCCAAAGGCATTTATGGTTTAGGCTTTTGGGTTTTTTGGGTTTTGAGTCGAGCATTTAGGGTTTGAGGGCCTGCTACAAAAAACGTCCCAGACCTGATTTTCAGAGCCCACCTCACATTTGTGTGTATGCTTGTTCACAATTCAAGCACGTGTCACAGAACCAGTCAGGTGTAGGCTTCTCTTTCTCTTGGGATCGCCTTTGTTGAAAGGAAGGCCTTCTTAATAGTTTTAAAAACGGACCGATTGAAAATCCTGAACGCTCATGCAACACCTTAACCTGCTACAAACCCCTTGCACGACCCGTACAAATCCTGCGTAAAGCAGCTATACAACCATTGCGAAGTCCTTCGTCCTTGGAAACCCGGCAAATAACGGAGCTCCTGACGTGAGCCTTAACAACCCCTGAACCCCTAAACCCTAAACCCTAAACCCTACACCCTAAACCCTAAACCCTAATCCCTCCCCAAAAGCAAGCAAACGCGGCTGTCGCGAGGAAAGGTCGATCGGCGGAAGCTGGACGCCATGACGGGCAGAGGCCTGGACATGAATGTTGCAGGGTGATATTATGTAAAGGATAGGGGGTATGCAACTGTTATCTTTAGGTTTTTGAGGGTGGGCGGGGGAGGGGGGATAGATAGATAGATAGATAGATAGATAGATAGATAGATAGACAGATAGATAGACAGATAGGTGATTAGAGATAGATAGCGATGTAGAGAGATGGAGAGATAGATAGACATATAGATAGATAGATAGATAGATAGATAGATAGATAGGTGATTAGATATAAATAGCGAGATAGAGGGATGGAGAGATGGAGAGATAGATAGACAGATAGATAGATAGATAGATAGGTGATTAGATAGCGAGATCGAGAGAGAGATAGATAGATAGATAGATAGATAGATAGATAGATAGATAGATAGATAGGCGACTTGGATAGATAGATAGATAGATAGGTAGGTAGATAGATAGATAGATAGGTAGATAGATCGATAGATACGTAGATAGATAGTTAGATAGATAGATAGGTATATAATATACACAGACAGAGAGAGAGAGAGAGAGAGAGAGCGAGAGAGCGAGAGAGAGAGAGAGAGCGAGACAGAGAGAGAGAGACAGAGA